TCATTAGAATAAAGCTGAGTAGAAGTGATGTTTTATGATGATGAAAAAATCCTTGGGTAAAAACATGAGTTACCATTACATCCCATATCTGATTGCACAAATCATGGAAGCACACTTTTGGTAGACAGATACATTCATGTAACGCACACCATCATAACACAGAATACTTTCGTATTCTTAGAAAGTTACCTGGCAAGTGGGTGGGCTTTGGCCTTGGGAGTCGGCACACCCACTTACTGGCTGTTGATCCCCGGATATACAGCCTCACTGACCTGAGCCACAGCTTCCTCCTTGGCCAAAATAGAAGCATCATACTCCTGATGTGTTTGTGATAAGGATTCGGGGCAATGTGTAATACATGCCTAGCACAGTGTCTACAAAGAAGCACAATGTCTGTCTAGTATGCATTGTGTCCAGGGCACATTCACACCCAGAGACCAAATCCACACTGTGCAAAATATCTGCACCCAATGGAAAGATGGAGGCAAGCTTTCACGTTTTATTTGGCAAATAATCAGATTCATAGATATATCTGGATTTTTTGACCTAATTGACTAACTGGACAGCAAAAAATTCCATTGTAATTATTAAGTAATCTTTGTTATGGCAGAATTCTAAATCCCACTTCACCCTAAGTGTATTCAAACTCATTTCAAACCAAAGTCCATCTACCAGTCTGGGTTTTATTCTCCACTAACAGTTTTCCCTGAGATGGTATACATTAGACATTCCCTGAGATGGTATACATCAGACCTTCCCTGAGAATCGTCTCACATTAGACCTTGTTGCTCATTCACTGACTGCAGAAACTCCCTAACTCTTTGCCACACTTGGCAAGATTAACTGGGGAGTCAGTTGAAAAATACAGCTGTGTCTCAGCAGCAGAATCTCAAGGTCCACTGGCTTTTTGAAAGTCAAATTCCCCAGGAATACTCTGAAAACTCACATAAATAACCAAGGGCTTGGCAGTATTAACTGGTCTTGGTGGCTGCTAAACTCATATGTCCAGTAGCACAGTCTCCCTCCCTGACACTCCCACCTACTGTCCCTGAACAGAAGACACATGGTCCCTAAAAAGTCTCAAACACTTCACCTTTTTATTCCTGTCATTTTCGACTTATATTGGATAAAGATGAAGAATAAGTGTACATAGAAAATATAAAGTTTAAAACTTTTTGCACAATCCTAAATAGTTCAGAAAATTAGACACTCTGTACAAGTGATTAGTTAGAATCTCAGAAAGCCCAAATCTAATTTCCTTAAGAGCCAGTGGAGTTCTTCAGAGCTCAAGGATGAAAGCAGAAATGTTTCAAAAGCCAGTCTGATCCATTTCACCCTCAGTTCCTGTGGATGCGGAAAGAGCCTGTGATGGCTGATTCTGGCATCAATTTGACTGGATTAAGGGGTTCCCAGACAGCTGGTAAAGCATCATTTATCCCCAGTGCTTCAGTAGGCGCTGACCCCATCTCTCTTCTGCTGAAAGGGAAAGCCAGGTGGTTTGGAATTTGATTGGAATGACTGGGCTCCAAAAGTATGTCTGCAAGGGTGTTTCCGAGATTAGTATTTGAGTTGCAAGACTGAGTGGGGAAGTGTCACCCTCAGTGCCAGTAGGCACCATCAATCCTCTGGGGTCCTAGATGAAACAAACAGTCAGAGGAAGGGATGTTCTCACTCTCTCTTCTGAGCTGGATGCCCTTCTTCTGACCCTGGATACCAGAACTCCAAGTTCTCTTGTTTCTGATTCAAGGACTCACAGCAGTAACTCCCCCAAGGCTCTCGGGCCTTAGGCCTCTGCCTAAGAGTTATACCGTCAGCTTCCTTGGCTCTCTGGCCTTCCGAACTGCAATGAGCTAGGCTATCAGCTTCCCTCACTCTCCAGCTTGTAGGGGGCCTATCATGAGACATCTCAGCCTCCATAATTGAGTGAGCCAATTTCCCTGCTGCTCCTCTTTATGTATTCCTCTCTGTATATCTTGTCAGTTCTGTCTCTCTGTAGAGCACTGACAAAAATGGAGCCCAGGGTAGGAAGTAGTCAGCTTTTCCTCCTGAAGCATCACTCCATGACCCCCTGGTGACCTCAATGGAGACAGCTGTCCCAGATCATATTAGTTAATTGCGTCTTATACCAATTGAACATGATGAATCTTGGCCTGGGCTCTAACAATCTCTTCATTGAACAACTCGGTTGTCAGATGCTTTGTCTGTTTGTGTTGCAGAAATTCACAAGTCTGGGTAAGTTATAAAGGAAAGAGGTTTATGTCGTCTCCCAGTTCTGCAGGTTGAACAAGAAACATGGTGCCAGCATCCACTCTCTTCCCAATGAGGTCTTCGGGTTGGTTCCACACATGATGAAAAGCGAACGGGAGCTTGTGTGTGCAGAGACCACGTGGTGAGGGAGGAAGCAAGGGGCTGGGGAGTGCCAGGCTTGTTTTGACAACCAGTTTCTCAAGGGAGCTGATAGAGTAAGAACTCACTCTTCACTGCGAGGACAGTACCAAGACATTCATGAGGGATATGTCCTCATGATCCAAACACCTCCCCTTATGTCCCCCTCCAATATGGGTGTCAAATTTCAATACAGGGTTTGGGGGACAAGCATCTAAACTATAGCAGATGCTTTTCCTGCTACTAAAAGGTACAGTTCACCTGTGTTTGGCCACCCTTCTAGAGCTGATTAGAAATCTACTCACTGCAGAAGTATACCCTGACAGCTTTGTGGGGAGACCTTGGTTATTGCATACAGAGTTTAGATGATCAAACTATAATCCTTGTCTTCTGTCTTCTCTCTCACCCCACCCCACCCCACCAGTTTCTATATAGCATCTGTCTGTTTCTATATCCTTTGTAAAATGAGATGCCTCGAGACCGTCTAAAAACAGTGCCTGTCTGTGGCAGGAAGATCTTATGCATTGGTAGAAAAACATTCAGCCTGTGGAAAGGAGAGAGCAAAATTAACTTAGATGCTAAATTTTATCAGAGCTAAATTCATATTCCCCTAGGGTTGGGGCAAGAAAGTCAGCTACATTTTACAAGTTCAGAAGGAAGAAAGTTCTTTGTATTATTGCCTCTCACGTTAAGTCAAATATGGGTAGCCTGGACTGGCTACATAAAATAAAATCTCATCAAGCCACAGTCAACAACTCTGAAAATAATGCTCCAAACACTACAGTTATATAACAAGAAGAATCCTTGTGTATGAACTGAATCAGACTTCCTTTCTCCAGGGAAATGTGATGGAATTAAGTCTCCTCTGTTCCCATTTAGAAGTTCATACATAATCATAGCATGTTATTACATAGACAGAAAATGAAAACTTCAAAGCCAGAGCTGGTACACAATGCAATTTATTTCCACTGGTAATAAATTGCCCCCTAGGTTATGGAAGAAGAATATGACGATGGAGACTAAGAAGAAACTAATGTCCTTTCTCAAAACATTGAGATAGCTGTGCCCACCTTGTGGGTCTCTCCAGAACTGACAGCGTTGTTGCTGTTTTATTCCTTCAAGTGGTAAGCTCACCAACATCTGCTGATGGAAAGATGATGAAGTGTCTCCTGATCTCTGCCAAACTGGCCTGTGGAGAGACACTTTTTAAAGTCATATGCTTTTTATCAGCCTAAGCAGGATATTATTCTAAAATTTATTGTGGGCCGGGTGTGGTGGCTCACACCTGTGATCCCAGCACTTTGGGAGGCTGAGGCGGGTGGACCACCTGAGGTCAGGAGTTCAAGACAAGCCTGGTCAACATGGTGAAAACTGTCTCTACTAAAAATACAAAAAATTAGCCAGGCATGGTGGTGGGCGCCTGTAATCCCAGCTACTTGGGAGGCTGAGGCAGGAGAATCACTTGAACCAGGGAGGCAGAGGTTGCAATGAGCTGAGATCACGCCATTGCACCCCAGTCTGGGCAACAAGAATGGAACTCCATCTCAAAAAATAAAATATAAATAAATAAATAATAAAAATAAAATGTATTGTAATAATTAAGAATTTGATAGAAAGTATTAGCCAAGACAATAAGCCAGTCCATCAACCTGAAGAAAGTCGGGCAAAATCTTTTGAATTTCTTCAATACACTTGTCATGATGATATTGGGGAAGCTTGGCTTGAAATCCAAGTGGCCCGCTCCAATTCTTAGCCCTGCCACTTTTTACCAGGGTTTGAGCTTTGATAGTTTGTTTAACATAATTGAGTCTTGATTTCATGAAGAAACTGCTACATGTTAGATAGAGGTTTCATAGGAATAAATTGAAATACTGCATGCATGACACCCAAGGGGCATCCGACACAGAGAAAATACCCCAGGCTTAGTCCTTTCCCCAGTCCCTCTCCTCCCTGTACTTTGCTTTATGGTATTGAATCCTGAGTTTAACTCTGAAACACAGTTGCAAATAGACTTCTAATTCCAGATGGTTGCCTAAACTCAAGAAATACTATTCTTTTGTTCCAAAAATTTATAATGCTTTAGATATATCAAAAAAGACAAGTAGCCCAGAGCCCATGATGAATAGGAACACTCAATATTGTAAAGATAAGCGCCTCAAATGCGATTACAATCAAAACCCCAACAAGCTTTCCATTGTGTATGTGGTTGTAGGTTTCTAAAACTTAATGGTGAGTAAAGTAAGGTGGGAAAAGACAGTCCTGAAAAAGAAAAAGAAAGTAGAGAGAGTTACTTACACCAGATACTATTAAACTGCAGTAATGAAGACTACAGAGGTATTTGTTCAGGATTGATGAGCTGATGACGGAGCAGAAGGGAGCCCAGAACAGGCTCACACAAACAGATGCACTGCAGGACCTCGGGGGAGGAAAGGGCCGCTTTGTGGGTGGAGGCAGACAATCAGTGATCTGTATAGAAAAGTGAAATGGAATTCCATCACTGCAGATGCACATATCAAAGGAAGGAAAAGGTATGGTAGATGATCCTGTGCCAAGAAATAGCTCAAAAATCTTATTGATCTGGCACAGCAAAATGTATTTCTTGTTCTTGCCTTTTGCTTTGGCTCCCAGAACTCTCCAGGGCCACCTCCTCCGGGCTCAGCCGATCACTCCAGGAGATGCTGATCTTGTGGCAGCTCCACGTCCACACACGCTTCCCCAGATGTGTCCACTGTGGGCGTGAGCACAGGAAATCATGCACTGACTTGTAAATGCTTCCTGGAACTGATACATGTACCCTTTTGCTTGTATTTCAATGGCCAGAGGAATTTACAAGAGCTGCCTGTCTGAAAATGAACTACTGCTATACACAGCAACAAGGACTGATCATAGAAACACTCGGTTAAGGGAGGAAAAATAAAAAATAGGTACCTGTAGAAACATACTTTGATAGTATTTCAATATATTTTTTAAAATTTAAAATAATTATTTCTTAAACATATATATATGTAGGTTAGACTTACATATTCAAAAAAGAGAATGGCAAAACCAAAATTCGGAGAGATGCTGACCTCTGTGACTGGAGCGAGGGGAGATGCACACAGGTGGAGATGAGCTATTGGAATTGTTCCAGTCCTCAAGGAAGCACTGCTCAATGAGGCAGAGGAAAGGTGACAATTCCAAGGGGAACAGCCAAGGCCAACATAAATAACGTATTTTGTAGGAAATTGAGATAATTCAAAAGAGATCACTTTCAAAACTCCAAACATCATCACAAGTATTTGAGAAACTATATCCTTAAGACAAGGACAGGCTGCAGGGAAAAGAATCAAGGACAAGAAAATATTCTTGGTAGTTAAAATTAGTATTTCTGAAGTTAAAATAAAATTATTGGTAAGCTGAAAGGTAAAGCCCGCTAGGACCATAAATAAAAAAAGTAAAGATCATGGATAATGGGAGAAAATGTTTGGAAATCCCAATTCAAAAGTTTCAAAAACCATAAACACTAAAGTATAAACATAAGGACCAATAAATGTCCCAAGCATTAAAGGAGGGCACTCATCACACGTTTTCCAGAGTATGTATGTTGCCTAGAATGGTGTGGCCTTTAAGTCTACAGACACAGCTCTTCATTTCAACAATATTTTGTTTTACTAACATTTGGATAAATTATTTCTGTTCTATTTCTTCTGTTCTCATCTTCATGAAACCCAATCGGTGTATTTATGGGTCTGTCTCTGATATTTTATAATATCTACCTGAATTTCTATTTATCTTTTAACTTGGTTTTTTTTTTTCAGTTGATACATATTAGCTGTACATATTTATCTTTTAACTGATTTTATGGAGCATGATGTTTGTGATGTATTGAGCATCTTGGAGAACTGTGTGTTTACATTCATTCTCCTTTGGTTAATCTCACTTCTGATGTAGGTTTTTATTTGATTTGGGTTCATTGTTTTTGTTGTTGTTGTTTGCAATATGTATGTACAGATCATTTCAGTTTGTTTCTCCTTGCTGAACAGCGACAGAGGAAGCACGGTGGTATGGAGAGAGGGCGAGAGGGGTGGGCTAGGAGCTCACTCTATCTGGTGTTTTGGATTCATGTGTGGGAAGACAAACACCAGTATACAAACACCTGCCTGAGATTCAGCAGTGCCATTTCCACCAGCTCATCCACCTTGGGGAGTGCATCGCTCCTCAATTTGCCAATACAGACATTAATAAGGCTTCAAGCTTGTTAGTTTCATGTTCTGTCCTTCCCCTTCAATCATCTCCCTGGGCTGGGAGGTGAAGTCTGAATCCACAGCAGCAGCATTCTGCTATAGTTCTTCCTCTTTCTGTTCTTTTGTGTAAAATTGGGTCTTTAAAATATATTATCTGACTTTTCCAGGGCCCTCCAAGCCCCTAGACCATGTCCCTGTAAGTAAAGAACTTTTGGACATGTCTTAGGATAGAGACTCACACATTTGAGAAAATGTGGAACCTGTACAGGATTCAAGAAACAAAAGGCAATTAGAAATTTCAGGCAAAGCAAAATATTTTCAAGAACATTATGGTTCAAATATGAAGCAAACTAAGATGTTGTCTACTGGGCAGTGGGGGTATAACTTGATTTTCCTACTAGAAATATCTGCCTGTGTTGTCCCAGGCCACGACACTGGGCTTGGAGAAGGAAATGTAAGTCAACCGCAGTACTTGGCTGTGGGGTAAACCACACTTACTTTGCTATGTTTTATTAAGGATGTTTATTAGTTTTGAACTTTTAAATCACCTATGGTACAGAATATAAAATAGATGTTATCTTCCTTAACAAAGATCCAGTTGATAGAGGTTTGGAAGTGGGTGCAGAAATAGAGATGTATCCAAAGATACTTTATAAATTGATATAAACATAGATCTATATTTTATGATCTTACTTGTATTTACACAGTAACTAATGGAAGGCCTGCCTACAATTGGGAAGAGGTGTAAAAGCGAGAATAAAATAATTTAGGTGAGCTAAATTTTTAAAATTTTAAATCAGATATTTACCAGATGATGTCTGAAAATTATTTTAGAATGAATGAAAAAGCATAATGGGCACATCAGTTAGTGCTCTGGTGGTAGTCACCAGAAGGCAGAACAAGTTGCAAGTCTGGTGGAAGGCACAAGGGTGTGCAAGAGACTGTGCTTTCATGGTACACCTGGATACCCTTTAATTTTTATTTATTGTGTGTGCATATTATATTGATAAACATTATGAATTTTACAATTACTTATTATATAAAAATATTCCTATTTCCACTCTACTTCTCACATTTCTTAATAGGTAGGCTCTTTGATCCCAAACATGATACATGTAACTATCTGGCTTCATCTGATCTAATTCTGTAGCAATAATACCAAATTCCCTTGGTCTCTAATCCCTCACCAGCTGAAAATAGGCACATTGACCCCTCACATCCTGGAAAGAAGGTGATAAGTATCACTGGTCTGAATCCCTACAGGGAAATCTAATAAAAATGAGAACAACAGTTTCTGCTTGTATGACAGCTTCCCAGAACGATTAATGAGAGGGAGAAGCCACTCCACCTTTGTACTTCTAAGAGTCAAGAGCCATCCCCACAGCTGGGTTGACAGTGAGGGTAATTTTGCCTTAATTTTATGCAGGCCTAGTGCCTATAGCTATGTGATTTTTTAAAAGTACCTCACATGATATCTGAAAAGATGCATGCATGCTACTTTTGTACCATAAATAATAAATTACAGCAGCATCACAGGTGCTGACAGAGTGGTTATCTCTGTTGCAACTCAGCCAGAGTGGGGGCAGTTCTGCATGTAGGTGTGTGATTAATCCCTTGCCCTCTCGTTTCATGGCTTATTTTTTATTCTATTTAACAATGCAGTACACTAGGTCCCATGATGGAGTGTCCTGTGTGTTTTATGCCTAGAGAGCCCAGAAGCATTTGCTGGGCACAGAAGCAGTCCTGGAATACTGCTAGGACACCTAAGATTCCAGTCCTGGGACAAGACTCATCTGAGGCCATATCTGTTCAATCACTGCATTGTGAATGTCTCTTGCGATAATAAAATATGGCAGCAGTTTATTGGTGCTTTATTGAGAGGTCTATCAGCCTCTCACTTGAATCTGGACAGACCATGAGTCACTGCAAGGACAGGAACAATGGAAGGGCATTGTGTGACTTCCATCAACAAGTGGAAGGGCATAAACTTTCTACTTGGTTCTCCTGGGATGCTCATGCCAAGGGAAGCTGGATGCCCAATCAAAAATGTAACTTCCCTGAGGTCCCCAAGCTGGAGAGGTTGAGGGGGACATCAGCTGAGCAAGCTCTTGGACCTCCAGCACAGGTGCCTCAGGTGAGGGCCACTCCACCTAAGGCTGATTGCAACAAGCATGAGAAATCCAACCAAGGATTGCTTAGAGCTTCCGAAACACCTGACCTACAACAATTGTGAGCTTAATTAATGGTGTTTTAAGGCACTAAGTTTTGGTATGCAAAGATAGTCAGCAAATACCTCTAGCTCCTACAAGAATTGCCTGGACCCCTCATTAGTATCATTTCTTACAAAACCTTGACTTCCTTGGGGTCTATGGTATGACTCAAAGAGGTAACCCAGATGAAAGAACCTTGTGCACCAAAATTATAAGATATCATCACAAATATTTCAGAGAAAATAAACACTACAAAAAAGCAAGTTATCTTTATTATAATTATTGAATTTTTCAAATAGCAAATTTAAGAATACTCTTGGTTTGATGCCAAGTTAAAAATCGGTGGGGAAAGATGGAAAGTGCACCTGTCATTGGCACTGTGGACAAATAAGTCATCTTCCTTGCCCTACTCTCCTTCCTCCCTCCCTCATCCTCTTCCTCTTTCTTTTTCTGCCCCTGTCTCTCTTAGTCCCCCTTGTCTTGGTCTTGCTCTCAGTCTTGCTTCTTCCTGGGAGTATCATTCTTCAGGCCCCATTTTCCTGTGGCCTCAATATTTCTCCAGAGGACCAAGCAGGTGAGCTGGGCACCTTTGCTGGTGGAATTGGCCTGTGCTGAGACAGGTGAGAAGAAAGGACGAAGAGGACACCTAGGCCCCTGCCTGGGAATATCATGAGCGGTTCCTCTCCTGAGGAGCAGCTTCTGTTGGGATCATTATCTAAGCAATTAGGGGTTTCCACTCAATTTGCAGGCTCACTGATTGTTATGCACGTCTCAAAGCATCAGGCAGTAGAGGAACTAATCAGCACTTAATTGCTGATGATAAAATCCAGAGAATAAGGAAGAAAATGCAAAGAAAAACAATTCTCTCATTATTTCAATTATTCTGCACCACTCCCAATTACACAGTAAGTCACCTCTTTTTATAGCTGCTGTCATGACATCTGTGTGGGCCTTGGGGTCACTTAATTTCAAGCTACCTTTAAAACCAGATCCTCTGAGGAACAGATATTTGCTTTATGCTGATGCAATTAAAGAAGCTAATTTCAATTTTGAAGCACACAAGATGTATGCAAGTTAATAGCTTTGCGGCTGTTGGCCTCCAAACAGAATGAAAAGCTTGTTGTTCGGCTTTAATAACCTGTGGGACAAGTCTGAGTGTTCATATAAATTGGAAACCTTGCTCTTAACTGATTTTTTTCATACAATTGCTCCCTGATAGGAGGATTCATATCTTAAATCCTATAAATCTTCAAAAGTCTTTTGTTTCTTCTGCATCTGGCTGTACCATTTATTTGGGGTGTCACAAAGGGAAAATGAAGTAGCAACAGGCACCTCCCAGGACAGTCTTGCAAGCTGGAACTCAGAGCTCTTGGGACACTGTGGCTGTGATGACCCACCTCAAGGTTGTCCTCCTCAATGCCTGCCCCATGTCCTTTGCCTTCCTTGTTCAGAGTACACGTTCCTGCAAGTGACAGATATCAGCATTCCTCTACATCATGTTAATTCAGTTGATTGCAATTTGCAAGTGGCCCTGCTTCTCTAGCAGGGATCCTGCAATCTCCCTTCACGTATTTTTATGTGCAGCATAAAACTGCACAGGTGAAAAACTGGAACGAACATATTGGGAGCAGGAAACACATTCATTAAGAACCCATGGCTTTTAGGGATATACGCCTTGCACAGTGGGGGACATGAAGCATAATAAATATTAACTTAAAGTTTGGTTTAAGCTCATTCCCCCAGAAGATACCTTGAGGAAAGGATCCAGAGCAAGGATTCATTTGAGTGGTGATTTGGAGGGAGCAGTGGTGGGGAGCAGTGTGGAATACTTCTCTTCCCTTCAAGGGAGAACTTGCCCAGCTGCTAGGAAGGTGGGTTCCTGCAGCCTTCAGTGGCTGCCACCAGGATCTGCCCCTGCTTCTCTGCTCAGACAAACTCTTCCCAGGCCATCCCTGCCACGGCCTACACACAGCTGGTGCTGCAGCCCAACTTGGTGTGCCAGCATTCGACTGCTCTAATGGGCTATCTCAGGGTTGGTGGAGCCTTCCTCAGTCAGCACCACAGTCCAAGGCTCCCCCTGCCCAACTCTGGCCCTGCAGTTGGTGTCAGGTTTTCTTCCCCCAGTGTATTAGGGCTTTCTAGAGGAATGGAACTAATAGAATATATACACACACACACACTCACACACACACACACACACATATATATACACACACACACACCAGGTTTTCTTCCCCCAGTGTATTAGGGTTTTCTAGAAGGACAGAACGAATAGGATATATACATACATATATTTATACACACACACACACACATATATATATACATATATATACACACACACACACATATAAACTCCCCTTTATATACATAAAAAGGTCTGGTCACGTTTCTGGTCATGTGGTCATAGCTAGTATTGGTGACTACATTCTTCTACCTATTCTGTATTCCTTTTGCCTTTAGCAAGTGCCTCAGCAGGTTGTGTTTTTTTCCTGGTGGAATGACCCAAACCTCCATTCCAAAAGGGTCTGGGCAATTTTTAGTCCTGCCTGGATTGGGCTGTTGTAGTTTCCCACTGTGAGATCTGAAGAGCAATTACAGGGCTCTTCAAAGATACAGGTTCTGCCCTCACAAATCTATTCTGCAAGGCATTGGTCAAGGGTGTATCTTCTGGATGCTCCCAGTTGGGATGAGTAGATGTAAGTGACTAATCCACTTCACCATCCCAATCTCCCCAAGCTTTTGGATCCTTTCCTCTACATTAAACCAAGGGAGATGATGCATCTCCAGCTCACTCATAGTAGGCCATCTTTTCATCCATATTTCAGTTAACCAAGCAAATAAACTATTAGAATGCTTTTCACCTCCCCAAGCCACAATATTAAATGCAGAGCCCCTACTTAGTGGGTCCAAATCAATAAATTCAGCCTGATCCAACTCTATGTTCCTTTCACCATTATCCCACACCCTTAATATCTATTCTCATGCCTGTTCTCCAGATTTCTGCTTATATAAATGAGAAAAGTCAGGCAGTTCTTTTTGAGTGTAGTGTACCTCCTCATGGGTCACACTCTCAACCTCATGTCTAGGGGCCCGCTGGGACTTTAGTCCAGTTATAGATCTAGAAGCAAACAGGGGTGTTTGGGGTGGCTTCTCAGGAGAATCAACATTATCTTGCCTGGAAACTGCCTCAGGGGAGACCATCACTGTTGCCTCAGGCAGCGCAGGGTTTAACTCCTCAGACAAAGGTGGAAAGGCGGATGGCAGCATGGGTCGTGGAGGGGATGTTGCCACTACTGTGGTTAGGGAAACTGTTTCTTCTGACAAAAAAGGTTCATCAGAGTTTACAAACTCAGCATCCCCAGCTTCATCAGGGTCCTCCTACACGTCCCCATTCCAAGTTGCAGGGTCTAATTCTCTTCCTGTCAATGCCCTCACTTTAACAGTAGACACACGGTGAGGCTCTGCATGCTCCTTTTGTTGCAGGTCAGCCACTCACATGATAAGAGCTTGTGTCTGTTTTTCCATAATTTCAGTTCTTTCTCTACAGGAGATGAGACTCTCACTCAGGGCAATCTTATCAGATTTGAGCCTCGGTATCTGCTTCTGAAGCTGGGAGTTACAATCCCTGAGTTCATCATTTTCTTTTGTCACTTTTTCCACCAAACTTAGGAGCAACCAACCAGCTTCATTATGTTCCTTTGTTCTCCACATACGGTCAAAGGTGTTATGTATTGAGTCACTAAACTCTCTGCCTCTCATGAGCAATGAATCCGGAGTGTCAAATGCATTTATTTTGCATAACTTTCTAAACAGTTCATGCCAAGGACTACCATTGTTCTCCATACTATTAGAAGTAGAGTCCTTAGTATTTGGGGGTCTAGTCATATCAAGCAGCCAACTCCAGAAACCCAAAACCAATGAAAGAACTCCATTCTTAATATTCTGTTTCTCTAGACCCACTCCTGGCACCAAAATCTGTATTAGTCAGGGTTCTCTAGAGGGACAGAAATATATATAGAAAGGGGAGTTTATTAAGTATTAACTCACACAACCACAAGGTCCCACAATAGGTCGTCTGTAAGCTGAGGAGCAAGGAGAGGCAGTCCGACTCCCAAAACTGAAGAAGTGGGAGTTCAGTGTTTGAGGGCAGGAAGCATCCAGCATGGAAGAAAGATGTAAGCTGGGAGGCTAGGCCAGTCTAGTCTTTTCATGTTTTCCCGACTGCTTTATGTTCTAGGCTCGCTGGCAGCTGATTGAATGGTGCTCACCCAGATTAAGTGTGGGTCTGTCTTTCCCAGCCCACTGACTCAAATGTTAATCTCCTTGGGCAACACCCTCACAGACACACCCGGGATCATATTTTGCATCTTTCAATCCAATTACGTTAACACACAGTATTAACAATCACACCCAGTTTTCTTTTACAGGTATTATCCACTTCAAGGAATTACTTGTACTTGTAACTCCTTCCCAGTATCTGCTTCCAGGAAGACACAGATGGCTTGTGAAAAAGTGAGACAGGGAAGGATGGGAGCCAGTTAAGGAGCAGGTCTCTGCTGTGGGCACCTCATGTACAATCTGGGGACCGGTTGGTGTGGAACTTGTCTCAGACTTGCCTGAAAAGGTGAGGAAGAGGGCAGTTTTGTTTTCCACCCAACACCCCATCCTCCTTGGCTGAAGGCTGCTCCTGAGGAATTGGGTACTGGCACTTCCTGTGAGCGGGGAGAGCAAGCCCTGGGGAGTCACTGGCATGCACCCTAGGGCTCCACATGAGGGTTTGAGAGCAGTCAGTGTCCAGGGAATGTGGTTGTGGCTGTGCGAGCAGCTGCCACAAGGCTTTGTTCTTTGGCTACTCATTCCCCATTACAAGTCACAGTGAAAGAACGGCTGGGCTTAAGGATACAGGGTTGTCAGATCTGTACCACATCCGGGGGTGACCCCTTTGTCACATAAACCCCCAGGAGCTCCTCTCATTCTGCATTCACCTGGCCTCTCCAGTCCTTTAGTGGAACCTCCTCACCCCTACTAAACTTGCTAGTTTACGGATCACTTGCCCCTATGCTTGCACATTCTCAGCTTGTAAAGGATGTCACGAAGGACTCAGTATTATCCAGTTCCTTTATTGAAGACATCTTCATTCTTCTGTCTCTGAAAGAGCAGGCTTTCAAGAGAGAGCCGTGCTACACAGAGGACCTCATAGTCGAACTAAGGGGCAACCAGAATGAATCAGCAGTGCTCAGTGGAAAAGCCCTGAGCTGTGATCTACAGTGGGGATGAACTGGGCAACTATTCGCAAGACCTTTCTTCCTGATGTCAGCTCAACTGTTTTGCCAAGGGATAGGAAGATGGTCATTAGGACTGTGGACTGCACAGACAGTCTGAGAGAAGGGCAAAGGGATCACAAGCTCACACACCCGAAGTTCTGATGTTTGTAGACTCAACTGTGGAATCCATTGAAGCAAGTATAACATCTGGGGAAACCTTAAAAAGTTCAGATTGGTTTTGCCACATTAGTCCTTCCCCAAATGGCCAGAGCTGTCACCAGCCAGGACCCAGAGAGAGCCATCCAGGGGAGAATATTAGAAATTCCACTCTCATGCCCATCTTTTGGAGCAGGCTTCTCACCTGTCTCATCTACCTGAGTCCTTGAAATCCATTGCCTTTGCCTGGGTTCTTGGTCCCTGTAGAGCCCTAAGCGGTTGTCCAGCTCTCTGGGGCCTTGTGCTGGGAATGAGCCTCATCTGGGTCCCTCACCAAGAAGTCACCAGCCATGGACCCTGACCCATTTGCCTTAACTCACCAGTGCTGTATCTTCTGGCTGAGTCTGTGGACTCTCCCCCTGCACTTACCATGAGATACATGCCCTTGTATCAACTCTGTTGCCCTGAGTTTTCTCTAAGTAGCCCTGGTATTCTTTTCAGTTCCTTCAGAAGAATTTTTTTTTTACGTTAAGCATTTCTTTACCTTGCTTTTTTATTCCACTTATAAGCCAGGGTCTAAAACACCTCAAAGGGGTAAAAAGCATGTAAATCCTCCTTGATTTGTGTTCCCTCTAAAGCACACCCTGAGCTAAGAGCCTGGGTACAGATGCTAAACGGAAAGTTATTTCCAGGAAATACAGGTAGAGAAATAAGACAGTATCCAAAATGTGGCATTTCCATACAATGAAATATTGTTCAGCCTTAAAAAGGAAGGAAATTCTGACACAGGTCACAACATGGATGAACTCTGAGGACATTATGCTAAATGAAATAAGCCACTCACAATGGTTCCACTTATATAAGCGGCTAGAGTCACCAAATTCATAGAGACAAAGTAGAATGGTGGCTGCCAGGGACTGGGAGGGGGAGAGTGAGGAGTGTTTAATGGGTTTGTTTAATGGGTACAGAGTTTTAGTTTTGAAGATGGTAAGTGGTCTGGAGATGGGGCTGGTGATGATTGTGCAACAATGTAAAGGTACTTAATGTCACTGAACTGTGTACTTTAACAGGGTTAAGATGGTAAATTTTATGTTATGTATATTTTAACACAATCAGAAAGGCATTGTTTAAATCAAAAGACATATTGTTTTAAAAAAAACCAGATGCTGATGGCAAAGTAGGGCTGGTCCGGAGGAGTGAAGGGAGGAGACCCATCAGAGCAGCCATGGCTCCCACATTTAATAAAGGCATCAAAATAAAATAGATGAGCAGAAAATGAGACTCATACCTTTGCACTCTCTTTATCATAATTGAGCCACTTTAGCAACCACACTGGGGAAGGGAATGGGTTTGATTTTAGTGGTTATGTCAATTTCTGTAAAATAAATCAGATTCCTGAATCAGCAAGCTTTACCACCCTTTGCATGAGTTTAGAATATAAATGAAAGCTATTTCTCTTCCAAGATGATCTGGGTTAAAAAGCAATAACACACAGGAAATATGTGAGCCATTTCTTTAGCTGACATTCTGCCATCTCCTACTCCACAGTTACTAGAGGGACAGCAGATCTGCGTTCCCACCATCACTGTCATACTGAGTGGCTGAGCGATGAGTGAGGCTGGTGTTAATGATGGACCAGGACTCTGTGGGAGAAGCAGTGAGGATGACAGCCAGGAGGTGCCAGGATTTTGGAGTGTTACAGAAAAGTGCTACAGCGTCTTTGGTAAATACCAAGTCCTTGCAGTCCTGCCTGTCTCAGCAACTAGCATTCTTGTGCATTTAGAGGAGTTTGCAAAACATAAAACATATCAAGAATAGGATGTTCTCCAGCTTCAAGTACACCTCACCTCCATAGCTCCAATCAGCTGGGAACATAGAACAATCATGGATGGTGCTTTCCTTCTAAGCTAACAGCAGAGATCATCAAGGAAGGTGGTTCAAATAGGAAGGGCACAAAATCAAACACCAGAAGGCGGGGTCTGTTCCTCAAGTGAGACTAAATTGCTTGTTTCATATTCCCAGAAGTTACAAAGCAGTGACTTTAATAGGGCTCTGTTTAAGGAATTTTTGTTTGATTGGGCTGCAAGGCAATGGGAAGGTGACATTCACTACGTGATTTATTTTTGGATTCTCTGCATGCATGGGTTTTAAGAAGATAGGATGAGAGCATATTTTAGCTGGAAGGAAATACAGTTTATCTAGTTTAAACTGCTTGCAGTCTGAAGGTATTTCAAACTGAAAGGAGCAGTGCATAGATCCCTGCACAATTTCAGAAAGCAACAATACTCGTAGCACAGAGCAGCCCCGCTGTGTTGTCTGGAGAAGGTGGTAGGTGGACTGCAATGGACAGCCTACCTCTCAGACCTACACCTCCCCTGTCCTGTTTTCTGACACAGCCTGTGAGGCCCATCCTTGGGAACCAGGACTCAACACCACCTTAGTAAACTCACCCCGCTGCGGGTCCTGGTGAACACTGCACAAGGAGACAATGATGCTCAAGTGAGGGCACCAAATCCACTCTTGTGCAGGGAGTGGGCATGAGGACAAGGGGGCCAGCTGCTGCTGTTATCACTGGAGCAGAGTTAGGAACTGTTTTATGTAACTTATTTACTACATTAATTTCTGCGAAGACCCGTGACATGCCAAGGATGTTTCCTCTTATACAGATGAGTTTATTAGAAGTTCCTATGAGTAGGTGGGAATTAGACAATGAGAACACTTGGTCACAGGGTGGCGGACATCACACACTGGGGACTGTTGTGGGGTAGTGGGAGGGGGGAGGGATAGCATTGGGAGATATACCTAATGTAAATGACGAGTTAATTGGTGCAGCACACCAACATGGCACATGTGTACATATGTAACAAACCTGCGCGTTGTGCACATGTACCCTAGAACTTAAAGTATAGAAAAAAATAAATGAACAAATACTATATTTTACATCAAAAAAGAAATTCCTATGAGTAGGTAGAGTGGCAAATGAGCCTTAAGGTATATTAATAAAAGTTAGTGCATTTAGAGATAATGACCTGATTTAGTTATTTTTTTAAGAAGGTCTTTAAGATATCTACCTTATAATACAAAGCCACAGGCATCATTTCACATTTTTCTTTGAGGAATTTGCTGTAATAGGCAACCATATACAAAAATGAGAATGGGAAGGAAGGCATATCATTAAAACAACAAAAAAGAAAATACAAATCAATAGCCTATCTTTTCATACATGATTCATGTGAAGTTGGAGCATTAAATGTAGTTTTTGAAGTATCAGGACAGGAGAAGTAGAGAAATGGAATCAGGACAGGTTAGGTTAGCACCAGATATATGAGAGGAAGCAATGGGTTTGGTTTCCAATAATAAACCCTGCAAGAGAGCTGAGGGGGCTGGGAGCCATTGCAGGGGTGTCCCAGGCTGCACAGGATGGGTCTGGGTCTGAGTCTGGGCTGGAAAGGGGAAAGGGAGACAAGGTCAGGTGTTGTGGGTCCTGAGTCTGGCCAGAGAACTGCAGGGAGCAGTGGCACCGACGGGCAGGGCAACAGGGACCCTGTCTTTCATGGTCAGAAATAGGGGAGGAGAAAATCCACAAGACACTGGAACAGAGAACCCAGGAGATGTCAGTGAGGGCACATTTACATAGAGATGCTCCAGTCTAGATGCCAAAAACTAAAGCCAAGGATAAAATGGGAACGAGATGGTTTCCCAGACCCTGACACACATGTGTAAAGCGAAACGTAAGATGTGAGCAAAGTACTCATACAGCACGGAAGGGAACACACTGCTCACATAGCGAGTAATCAACACTGTGCTTCCCTCTGCTTCCAGAATAATCCCAAAAAATGATTTGGACAAAGTTACGAAAGATAGAGCAGTAAGTGGAGCTGAAATGCCCCAGTCATTAAGCCTGAGATGGAGGAGGACCCTAGGCCCTTCCCCACTCCGATCCTAGAGCCGCTGGCAGCTTACTTAGCTCCCAGACATCCTAGGTTCACTAGAAGTTTGGCCTGGCAGTGCCTTCATACCTTTATGAAGATCAAGGTCAAGTTGACTGTGGAGACCCCCTGGCTGCTTCCCTCCGCTAAAGAAAACCAGAACTGGACAATAGTTAAAGCCATAAAAATAGATTTGATTCAGGAACGATTGCAATAGGGTTAAAGAGGCCTCAAAGAAGAACATGGGTGACTCCTGAATACAGCATGGACAGTGGGGACTTTCACCAAAGAGCAGGATGGGGTCAGTGGATGCTAAATCACTGCGAGGAAGCATCCGGCCTGTGGATGGGGGAATCTGGCTAACCTGACCTAGTAGGATTCTTGCTGAAAGCAGGCAGGGTTCAGACATCTCCTGGGGGATGGCAGAGGTGGGAAGTTTGATCTGCTATCAGGAGTCAGGGATTCCCAGGAAACTGCTCCCAACACAGACACCTGCACACACACATACACACATACCAGATCACACACAGGCACACATATGTCATCTATCACACACATTCTGCACACACATGCACACCACATGACATCACACTCCCATGCACATGACACTGCATTTCAGTCCCCAAGTTGCTCCCTGTACCCCACTTTTCCCTCAGATGCCTTGAATCCTCAGCTCACAGATAACTTGCCATAATTTAAGCCAAATGAGCTGTAAGTGTCCACCCATGTTTAAAACAGTACTAATGCTTTGTTCCTTTGCTATTTTTAGGTTAAAAATAAGAGTTATAAACTGTTCTTTTGTAACCTTGATGGATTTCCTTGCAAACCCACAGGACCACTAATATGAAAAAAAAATCACCAAATGAAGCAGAAATTAAAATTATTACCTTAAAATAAAAAGTAGTTAGATGAATAAGGCCTCTTTCCAAAACGTATACTTTTAGATCCGGATGTGTAGGACAAGAAGGGCAAGTTTCATGTCATCCAGCCAATGTGTATGTGCTCATCTGGGCAGCGAGTAGGCCCTGATGGAGTGACTGTGACAGAAGGCAAGAACAGCCAATCAGAAACTCCGAAAACCAATCTTGCTACCTTTGTGGCTTGGTCCAGGGCTTACCTGAAAGGGTCAGAAATTCAACAGGATCAAATCATCATTGACAAAAACCAAGCTATTCATTCCAAAGGAATGAAATTTCAGGTATATCCTTGATAGAGTTTAAGTTTTCATTTTCTGGACAAATCAAGACCTGATGCCAGGGAAATTGATGCTGTGCTGAAATGTTACTCAGCCACAGCTCTCGAGTAACATGGTAGGAAAGGATGCAGAAAAGTGTGATTTACACAAGAAATGAAAGGTTCAGGGTGAAAGTCCATTGGGTCACAGTAGACACAGCTATGCAAAGCCTCAAATCTACTTCCTACATAATTTTCTCATCAAGATTCAAGAAAAATGCAGTAATTTGAATGAAGGTGTTGGCTTAGAAAACATATCCTAGGAAACATGGGGAATAATGAACAAACATAGGACAGTAACAATGAACAGAACAAAGCAATCTTGTTCTGAAGCCGATGGTGTGTGTTGTCCACTCCTTTCCTGGGGCAGAGGCAGGAGCTAGGAAGCTCCTTTCCTGAGGTCCTCCCTCCCCGGAGCCTTCGGTCTCCCCTCGATGTCACACGATGAGAACCAGGAAGGCAGTGGGGTTGAGTGATAGGTTTGCTTGGAGGACAATTTATGCCTTCGAGTCTTTAAAGAGAGAAGAGGGAGTCCATTCAGAGGTGGTCACACTGAAGGACAGTCACAAAAAGACTTGAGTCAAGGTGCAGGACTGAGTGAGCCATGGGGACAGACGTGTTATGAAGAGGAAGGAAGGTAGATGCACTTATACGCAAAGAAAATCAAATCACTGGCTAAGTAGGGAAGCCTGGGCAAGAGGGGATGAGGGGATGAGGAGCATGCAGCAAGGTTGCCCTGCCAGGGGAAGGGTCTGCAAGGCCCACCAGAGACAAGTCCATAGGGAATGGCCATGGGCTGCACCTGGAGGCTGACAGGCTGCCCTGTACCCGCCACACCATTCCTGTACCCTGGGGCATTCATTACTGGTTTATAGGAGTTCAAAGCAGGTGTAGTCACCATCTCCAAAACTTGTGACCTGGCAGAGCCTGAATCCCGTCAGTGTTGCCCTGGACCTGCCATCTTACTTAAGACCACATCCACCCACAAGAACCTGCTGTTACAAACATCGTTCCTCTGCAAGGGGGCAGGGGGAGACACTGGCTTCCCTGCTCCCTCTTGCTTCCTGCTCAGCTGGTAGGGGAGTCTTCTTAGAAGCCCACTTGATGAAGTCTCTTTCTTTCCTCAAATTCTCAAATGCTCCTGATGCTTTCCTAGTTGGACCCGAGCTCTGTGGCTGGTGTCCACAGGCTGCTGTGACGCTGTTAGGGTCCATGTGCTGCCATATTCCCCACCACACTCCACTCTTCAAAAACTCCAGCCTGCGTGGGTTCCCCTTATCCCTATCTCTGTAGCATTTCCCCTGCCTTCTTGATCCAACCAATCAAAATGCCAGAGATTAGCTTCCCTGAATACCTCCAGCCAAAAATCACCCTAACTGCTTAGCACCCAAAAGCATTGCCTGTGCCACTCTCATGGGGTGTCCCACCTTGTCTCTCAGTGCATGGATAGTATGTGCACATCATTTTCCCAGGTCATCCTCCAGCAAAGGCAGACACATATAAACTGGTTTGCATATCATGTCAACCTTTCCCCCGAGAGAAAGATTCCCAGCTTTCACAGACTTCTGTACCCACTGGGGGCACCAAAGCCCAATGGACATGATGCCCCCCTCCAGGCTGGTGCATCACAGGGCAGGGCTTCGATGTGACTGCTGCCCCAGTGGATGGGGGAGGCTCTGGCCAGATGAGAGACTCACCCTTGTGCTGTGCCTGTCCTGATGATGGCGGCAGAGGAGTTTGCTCCCAGGGCAGCCCTCCTCACCTGAGTCACAATGCAGTGGGCTTCCTGGTGACACAGACATACAAGCCACCTTTCCAAATCAAGGAGCTCACAGAGGTGGGCTCATCTGGGCTGCCTGGGCTGAGTGTCTTTCCAAGTCCCTTGGAGCTTGAATAAAGTCTGCATTTAACTTGCTGTGAAGTTTGTTCCACTCCATCAATTACATAGTATAGGAGTTAGTGGAGCTCAGCATACGGTATTGAGAGGGTCAGTATGGGTGACAGAAAGTCAGCTGGCATGGAACATTTGAATTACCCCATTCACAGAGCATGTTTATGAGGCTTGTTCACCACCAGCCCTGCCCTGGGCAGCACTGCGTCTCGCCTCCACCGACAAAGCACAGTGATGACAGAGATGCACGCAGGAGAAAGTGGCTGGTAGGTGCATATTGAGTGACTGAGGCCGTGAGTGTCCTTCAAATGTTTGGTCTGAATGACTTGGAAAAGGCAGCTGTCTATCCACCTTGCGTGCTACCACCGATCCAGCCCTCCTCCCCAAGCACTGGGCTACCTGGGGATCCTTGAGAGAAGAAAACTGAGTCTGAAATCGGTTTTGCTCTTGTGTTTCTTGTATACCCTTTAAAGTATTAGATACATGACAGTAATTGCAGCCAAACCAGCAGCTGCTTTGAGAGATCTCTGGGTTGCAGTTAACTGTCAGCAGTCCCAGCCAATTGCAACACTCCCATTCCTAGGCCAAGGGATCCATGCAGGTGTGCATTGCTCTGTCAATCCTATGCTGCTGTGAACCTCAACAAACATGGGCCCAAGAACCAGGAATCCCAGCAATTCTGTTTTGAAATTTGCCGTACAGCACCACAGTTTTGCAATAATTGTATTTCCTGATGAGTTACTTCCTCAGACAATCAACATAGCGTGGCAAATAAAAGTGGCCCCCAAGGGAACATCAGAACCAACACCTTGGAACTGAAATGGAAAGGATACCCTTTGGTCAATCCCAGAGTTGTCTCACTTGCCTGTCTGTAAGAGAATAGAATGATTTATGTTTGAATAAAAGGTGTCAGGGATTGGGGGAAGGAACACACCCATTCCTGCCAGACTTACTCTGAAAACCCCCTGCTCTAAAAATCAGTGATTTGACAGGCAACACCTTGCATCTCTGTTGACATCTGTTATCAGACTTCTCTAACTGCTACAGAATATTTACCATTACACACAATCAGAGAATCAGAGCCACTGGATCCCTGGGATTCTTCTAGACTGTTGCAATTTGAAAGCAAATAAGATCTTGGGCAAAATGACAGAAAAATTCTGTGACACAATGAGCAGATGACCTTCAATGACATTGCCACAGTGGATAATGCATTTCTCTTAGTCAAAGGAAGGGCCCACTTCACCCGGCTGGAAGGATATTGTCTTAGCATATTCGGGTTGCTGAAACAAAATATCTTTGACTTGATAATTTAGAAACAATAGAGATGTCTTGCCCACAGTTCTGAAGGCTGGGAAGTCCAAGATGCAGGCGCCGGCATATTCAGTGTCTGCTGAGGGCTGCTCTCGGCTTCAGAGATCGTGCTTTCTTACTGCTTCCTCACATAGCAAAGGGGTGAGGGAGCTCTCTGGGCCTCTTTTATTAGAGCACTAATCCCATTCTCAAGGGCTCCACTCTCATGACGGAGTCAACTTCCAAAGGCCCTGCCTCCTAATACCATCAACTTGGGGAGTGAGGATTTCAAAACACGAATTTTGAGGAAACACAAATATTCAGTCTGTAGCAGACATCTAGTTTTAAAAGAAATGTTGGCACAAGACAATAAGAAAGAGAGGGTTTTGTTGGTAAGAGGCAGTGCTGACCTGCACTGTATAATAAGATAGCCACCAGCCATGTGTGACTATGTAAATTTAAATTAATGAAAATGAAGCCAATTAAACATTCAGCTCCTCAGTGGCACAAGCCACACTTCAAAGGTCTAACCCAGGGTATAGAGAATATACCCTGAGTATATTCTCTACTCAGAATATAGAGATCACTGAGAGGAAGCAGATGTACGCAGCAGACAGGTTAAGAATTCACTGAAATTCCGAATGGTTACAGCTCTAGAAATAGGCTTTTGGAGGTGTGTCTTAGCTTCACATCCACCCACCACTGACCTTGGGCACACCAGCCATGCCGTGCTTCACTCTCCTGATCAGCAAAGTGAAAGATCTAAAAATAAGGCCCTATGACACAGAGTTATGGTGGGATTGAACAGGATATGATATGCAAGATTGTTGGTACTCAATAAGTGCCAGCTGTTTTTATATTTCATTTAATCATTCAGTTCACATCCATTGTTAACTGCCTACTGTGTAGGCAGTTAAAACATGGCTCTAGAGGCGGGGATACAGAAAAGAATAAAGTACTCCCTCCCACCCACTGCCTTCACCAAGCTTACATTCTAGCAGGGATACTGGCAATGGACAAGGTCAATAGCCAGTGTGATGTCAGGTGGTGACAGCTGCAGTGGAGGAAGGGAAAGATGGGTGAAAAGTGCATGGTCTGGGAACAGCACGGTCACATGGAATAGGGAACCAGAGGTGGCCTCATAGGGGAAGAGACTTTCAGACAGAGGAAACAGTACATGGAAAGGCCCCAGGCCAGAGCCTGGCACATCAGAGTGAGTGCACGAGGTGACTGGAGACAAGAGGAGAGGGCAGAGGTGAAAGGTGAAGCCCTGGAGGCCACTGTTGTGATTTTTGTTTCACTTCAACCTGGAGGCCACTGGAGGATTTGAGCCCTGGGTCCCGTGCTTTGCCTTTTATGTTCATAATAATAGCAGTGTTGTAGAACCCTCAACATGAGCCAGACATAAGTTCAAACTCTTTACCTACATCAACAACTCTGAGGGGAAAAAACTAATATCAGGCCCATTTTCAGTCCACAAATTCTAAGTGACATCCTCATAGAAGCACAGTTACTCAGAGGCAGAAGCAAAAGTTGAACTTGTAAGTCAAGCTCTAGACCATGCTGTGGTCCACGTGCCTGCATACTACCAGGGCCCTGTGTGGCTGCAGCAGGGATACC